ATCTCATGTAAAACTTAACAATCTGTACAACCCTATACTGATAACAAACACGTAAGACAGTTTGTTTTGTTGAGATTAATCGTTATTCAAACTATTCAATGTTTAATAAATTATTTTCATGAATGGACAACATAAACATATAAAATTTGCAGTACGAAAGATCTGTAAACATGTAGTCGAACTTTCAGAATTAACTGTCACAGTGAAGATTTCCGTCCAATTTGTTTATTAAATAGCTAAAGTACATTCCTGATACAAATGTCCAAAACATTATTCACTAGAAGTTCTAGTAAATTTAGAAATATTGTGTTCAGTAGTCGTGTATAATTAACCATGAATAACTGCATCCCTCACAAATTGATTATTCAAACATTGGGATTCTGTTATTCCTGCCCAAGGGACTGACTACTGATTCACTAATATGCTTACGAGATGTTATGAATCATTGCTTTTGAACTGTCTGGAACCCCAATCTATCTACTTTAAGTTCTGCACCCAGGTTCTCACGAATGTAGCTCCTTATTTTTGTTCTACCAATGTTATTGCTTTAGTAAATACACGTTAATTCATGAATGGAGTCGGTGCTAACGTGAAAGTGGAAGCTATTGATCTTTGACCGACTTAAATTGTGTCTTTTTGTACAAGACTATCACTTTAGTTGTAGGATAAGTTCTAGCTTATGTGATTTCTAGTCTTCTGTTGTATGTACCTTTAACTTCGTCATTTTCACACTTGAATTGAATAAAAGTCAGTCTTTTGTTTAGTGCAGTTTCGCTAAGCGTTTTCCTCTTTATTATTCTCGTATTTGAACAGCTTAGAAATCTTCATCATGTAAAATTACTAATATCTGAACGAAGAGTATTCTTTTTAATAAATTCTCTTCAGGTTCCGAATTCATAATTCTAAAAGTAGCCAGGTTTAAAATTATAGCCTATGAAGTTAGGGTTGTTAAGTAGAATAAGAATAATACCAGAAGGTGTATTTGTGGATATTATAGTAATTTTAATATCTCACAACAGACACGATTGAACCGGAAGAGTTTAACCGTGTATGTTGTGAGATAGTAACTCATTAAAGACAATGATGGACGGTGGTGCAATTTCGTGGATTGATTGAAGTTAGACATTCACACCGTTGGATGTGGGCTCAGTTGTTTAAAGGTTAAGCGTTCGCACGCGAAACCGATAGGTCCTTGGTTGGAATCTCGCGAGGCGGGATCGTGAATGAGTAGTCCCACAATAGGAAGAAACGGCCTTCCAGTTCTTCCAAATTTTCCATGGTGGTCTAGCTTCAATTGACTTATGATCTCAACTATTAAAATAAGATTGTTAGTGTGTATATAACTATTATTATTATTATTATCACCAACTCTAATTAGTATGTCAGTATCACTATTAATCTTCCGAATACATGAATAATTTAGTTAGCATTCACCATACTTTATTATTTCTTACTGAATTCATATTAGCTTTAAACAATAAATCGTCGAACACTTTACATTTGATCTGATTTATAGTTACATTATAATTTTGTTATATCCCGATGAGAATTAAGAATGGTAATTGTTGGAATCGATTTCTGGACTAATGCTATACATATATTTTTATTGTATAGTGTTTAAGTAACTAAACTATGCATACTCATCTTCCACTTATTATGAACTTTATTTTGATCGATAGATTATTACTGCACGATTAACCATTCCTGAGTTATACCCAGTCTATTAATTACTGTCCCCTCTATACACAGGCACATTTGGCCAAATCTTGTACACATGTTATTTTCTATTTTATGGTACGATGTGGTCTGTTTGATTGGTATATAAACCCAGTATGTTTGAGAATAATGATTCATATTGCAGAGGCTGTTATGGGTGTTCTAGGCTTAACAGGCAAGGCTAAGCAGGAAGCAAGACCCATAAAGACTCTAGACTGGTTTTATGCATCATTGATCCAGTCGATAAGTCGCTGTTTTCTAATTGGTGGTATTATTGCATTATATATTAATAGGGCACAAGACCACAAGTACTTATCAGTCCTGCTTTCTGCCTAGCCCAGTCAGTTAAGTCCAGAACACCAGTAACAGCCTCTGCAATATGAATCATTATTCTCAAATATACTGGGTTTATATACCAAACAGACTGACCACATCGTACCACAAAATAGAAAATAACATGTGTACAAGATTTGGCTAAATGGGGCTGTGAATGTGGGGAACAGTAATTAATGAATTAGGGATAACTCAAGAATGGTATATCGTATAATAATAGTTCATAGGTGAAAATAAAGCTTATAATAAGAGGGACATGAATATGAATAGTTGAGTTACTTAACAATCATACAATAGGAAATATACATATCATATTGGTCCATAAATAGTTCCCAGAAGTTACCATTCATAATTCTCTACGGGATATAACAATAAAACATAATACCATGAAAAGCACATCTAGTTGAGTTGAAAATCCCCCCCCCAACATCTCATTATCTCTAAACAACTTCATTACAACACTGTTAAACGACAATTTTTTTCTTAGAAACCATTAATTTACTTTTTTTTGTTTTTGTTTTTGTTTTTCTAAATTACCCGAATGATTCTTCTATTCATAGAAGGTTACTAAAATAATATAGGGTTACTCCTTTTAATGTTATTTAATATTTACCTTATAATTACAGGGTAAAACAGTATTCAATCATCTATGATAATGTCTTAGAATTAGTAGTTTCTTAAGTGATAGATTTTGTGTAATTTAGTTACTAAGTGGAATTTCACTTTGATATCATCATTTTATAAGTAAGCCATTACATATATAATGTGCTGTGTATATTTTCATATTATCATCACTATACATGTATCATGTCATCAATAATTAAGCCTGAATTCTTTGAAATTATTCCATGAATAATAAATTATTTTTGACCTACATAGTGACTGTGAGATCGGAATAAAAGACATTGAGATCAATTATGAGGGGCTTAATGAGTATTAATGCGTTGTAGACTTAATAGTGTCGTATGACGTTGCTTTACTTGGCTCTAATAAATAAGATGGGTCTGGTAAACATAATGTAGTCTATACTTCTTTAGATTTACAAAACTACATCATTAAATGCAGTCAATTGGTCGTTGATTTGAAGATGAGTGTGATAAAAAACAGTATAAATTATCAATGGCCCCCAAATACCCTGGTACGGCCGAGAGTGGAGAGAGTCCGCTCTCCCTCTCCAAATGCTCTCACATGGTCATGCGTATATAGCCTCTGACAGGGAAGTCCTAATCACTGCCTTCTTGTGGCATTACTGTTGTTTACGAAATTGAGAGGAAGAAAAGTGATTGTCTGGCGCTTTAACCGGGTCGATGTACACGGAAAGTTCACCTAGTTGAGTTGGAAAACCCTCATTCCAAACAATTGGTGAACATGGACACCAGTATCCTGAGGGAACAAATGACGTATGAATCAATCGTTGGTCATCGACTACCATGGGACTGCATTTCCTCACGATACCCCACTGCCTTGTGGATCAGATCTTCAGGTCAAAGTCTCCGGGTGTGGCCCTCCAAGAAAACGACCTGCTTCAGTTGGGGCACCTGTACAGTATCACAGCCCTCACACAAATCGAATGAGATTTGTGCGTCGCATATATATCTGGTTCCCCTTTGTATCAATATTTATGTGTTTAAATAAATAAATAACGACGTCGCTTTTCTTGGCCCTAATAAACAGGATGGGTCTGGTAAACATAATGGAGTCTATACTTCTTTAGAGTTACAGAGCCACATCATTAAATGCAGTCACTTGGTCGTTGATTTGAAGATGAGTGTGATACAAAACAGTATAAATTGGCAATGTTTTAATGTAACTCATTTAACAATACAGATCCATTTCTTCTGCTTTGAGCCTCATTTTATGTATAATAGCTAGTTATACCCCTCAGCTCCTCTAATCGAAGGAAATGATACTGACCTTGAATCATTTACCACTGTTCTACTAGTCACTAAAGAGACAGTAATTTTTACCGACCCTAATGACTGGACAATACATTCTAATTAAACTAATATTTCATCGTTAAAAATAGTCAACAAGAAATCTGAACCCCTTGTTGCGTTTCTGTAGTTAATACTCAGAATTGACTTAAAAGAAACAGAACCTCTGATAAACGATAGCAGAATGTTTCATATGTCAATGACTTGGAATAACGTATTCCTCAGTGATGATTGATTAAAGATAAATTTATTAGTCTCCGGCGGAACGCAGATCTTAATGAACCTCTTCAAGACAATTGAACTATCCAGCTAAATGGAAATTGTATTCAACTCTAATAGTGACAAGATGCTCTATCCTGTTTTCTTATGTTAAACAGATATTTCATCTAAATGTTCTGGAAATATTTTACGATTCATCTGCCTCTTGGATATGAGCTAAAGTGTACAACATTGACATGAATACTTGATAAAGGAAAAAAATCTTCTTTAGGGACATTGTTTAAACACTAACTAATTAGAATGAATATCTTAAGCTAAATGGATTAAGACGTGAATATGGGGCGCAAGCGGTGGTTTATATATTTTTCTGATGTATCTTTTTCAGGCATTACTGTGATCGCTTTTACAAATAAGCACTTTAAAGTCAGGTTGAACAGTAATACATTTTTACGGGAATGGTGATTATTTATTGCTAGCGGCCTCTAAATCATCGGTAGGTTTTCTTTCTTGTGATATTTAAATAAGTGCAGTTCAACTAATGAGGGATATATTCAGAAACGATGTGATTCGATAAAACTCTTTGCATTACGCACTGCTGAGGAGTCCCAAAATAGGACGAAATGGCCTTCTAATGCTTTCAGGTTTTCCATGATGATCTAGCTTTAATTGACTCGTGATTTCAACTATGAAAATAAAGCTAGATTTCATGTATTTAAAATTGATTTAAAAAAAAAACTGTTCCAAACTTTACCACAAATCAATAATCGTATCCCGTTTTCTTTTTCTTTTTTGACAAAGTGAATTTCTTGTGTTTTACTTCATGAATTTTAACTCCAATCGTTGGTACTTTCATTCAGTTAATCTATCCTCATAATGAATATGTCAGTCAATAAAAAACAAATCGCTAATCTTAACACTGATTATCAACATATAGAAAAATGTATGGAGAAACGTTTATGGAGTGTATTCTTCGCGATATCACTTGGATGCTTTTTTGGTGGAATATTCATCATACTTGCATATAGAATAATAATATGTATTATAATGTATTTGAAAAGTAAACAATCAGTCAATTTAACTGATTCACATACCAATCTATCTCATCGTCATAAACATGATGGAAATGAATTTCAATTACTTCAAAAAGATACTACACCAGTAACAACTGATGGAAATTGGATTAGTTCAACGGGAGATGAAATGTATAAAACAACATATCATACTAAGAAATGTTGTTCTCATTGTTGGACAACTATCCAATTGATTTTTACTCAAGGTCGTTTCTGGGCTATTCGACTTGTCAGTTATGATTGGATACCTGGTAGAATATTTATTGCATTATCAATGATATTTAGTTTAACATCTTTTAGTATCTATGCATATGAAGCAACAATATGGCCATCAGAAATTGAAAAATGTGGTCATAAAGGTCGAAAATTTCGTTTATTAGATTTTACAATGAATATTTTCTTTTTATTACATTTTATTGTTCGTTTAATTGCATCAAGTGATGTATTATTATTTTGGATTGAATGGTATTCTATATTAGATTATTTAACTGTACCACCGACATTATTTGGTTTTTTTATTCAACGTACATGGATTGGATTTCGTTTTGTACGTATTTTTCGTTTATGTAATTTATCTGAAGTATTAAATAACTTGAATATAATTAAATCATCATCTAGTTTACGTATGTGTCAATTATGTACATTATTCATATCAATATGGTTTGCTGGTGCTGGATTTTTTAATTTATTTGAAAATACTGGAAATATATTTGGTTCTAATACATATAATGTTAATCAATCATTACCATATACAATTGCATTATATTATATTATAGTAACTATGTCAACTGTTGGTTATGGAGATATTGTACCACAAACATATTTAGGTAAAGCATTTATATCATTATTTATTTTATTTGCATTAGCTACATTTGCAAGTGCTATACCAGAAATAGTTGATATGTTTTTTAATGTTAGTAAATATTCTGGTAATTATCAAAAATTAGAAGGTAAATCACATATTATTGTTTGTGGTGATATAACAACTAATTCAGTGAGAACATTTTTAAATGATTTTTTACATGAAGATAGAAGAAGATCAGATGTTGAAGTTGTATTTATTAATCGATCAAAACCGGATTTACAATTGGAAAATTTATTAAGATTACATTTTTTAAGAGTTAAATATTTTAGGGTAAGTATTGAATTATTATTATTATTATTATTATTTTTTTTGAAATTCATTATTTTAATATTTATGATTATGAATTAAATAAAGATTATGTAAAATTTGAAAGCACTGGAAGAGCGTTTCGTCCTGTTGTGGAATTCCTCAAAAGTATGCATCCACGAACCTTTCACACGAGATTTTAACCCCAGGATCTATGAGTCTTGCACACGAGAGCTTAACCTCTAGACCAATGAGCCGGCTGGTATCCAATGGTTATTATGTCTAACTTTAACGGATCCATGAAAGTTAATGACACATTCACCATTGTCTTCAGTGAGTTACTATCTCATAACAGACCTGGTTGAACCCCACTGATCACTGCTTCTCACTAGAACTCCAGGAAATATCTCTTGAAGATAGTCACTAGTGAGCATATAATTATTATCAGAAGAGGCTTTTGTGGAGATTTGAGTATTTTTATAGTTAAAATCATGAGTCAATTGAAGCTAGATCATCATGGAAAACCTGGAAGCATTGAAAGGCCATTTCATTCTATTGTGGGACTTCTCAGTAGTGTGCATCCACGATCTGGCCTTGTGAGATTCGAACACAGGACATATCAGTCTCGCGTGCGAACGCTTAACCTCTAGACCACTGAGCCCACATCCAATGGTGTTAATGTCGAACTTCAATCAATCCACGAAATTAAACAACCGTCTACCATTGTCTTCAGTGAGTTACTATCTCACAACAGATCTGGTTGAACTCCACTAATCACTGCTTCTCACTTGAACTCCAATAAATCAATTAAATGAATGATTACAACAATAAAGTTTAGTATATATTATATTTCATAGAACATGTTATTTAACGATGACTTACTATATTTAACCCCTGTAATAGTATACACAACTAGTTACCGAAAAGTGTATTCGAAATTTCCAGAAAGAATATGGTTTATTTTTATTATCTTAAGTTCTATTGATTTAGTTTGTTAGCTTAAAACACTGGGATTTTGGTTACGACTAAATAAGAACAAATTTTTGATCCACAGTTCTTACCACTGGCATCGTAGACAAGTCTTATTGCTTTATTAATTGCCCGAAAACTTCAAGTCATAATGCTAGGAATATACGTAAAATCATGGAAAAGAATTTATTTATTTATTTATTTAAACACATAAATATTGATACAAAGGGGAACCAGATATATATGCGACGCACAAATCTCATTCGATTTGTGTGAGGGCTGTGATACTGTACAGGTGCCCCAACTGAAGCAGGTCGTTTTCTTGGAGGGCCACACCCGGAGACTTTGACCTGAAGATCTGATCCACAAGGCAGTGGGGTATCGTGAGGAAATGCAGTCCCATGGTAGTCGATGACCAACGATTGATTCATACGTCATTTGTTCCCTCAGGATACTGGTGTCCATGTTCACCAGTTGTTTGGAATGAGGGTTTTCCAACTCAACTAGGTGAACTTTCCGTGTACATCGACCCGGTTAAAGCGCCAGACAGTCACTTTTCTTCCTCTCAATTTCGTAAACAACAGTAATGCCACAAGAAGGCAGTGATTAGGACTTTTCTGGCAGAGGCTATATACGCATGACCATGTGAGAGCAAGCCATTACCCCACCAAAGATCAGACATAGAAGATATTTTGATATATTCAAAATGCACACGAATTTTCTTAAAACGAGTGATACCAATGTTTACAATGGGTTTGCATAAATTAAATTGCATTTTATCAAGAAACTTAAATCCTGGCAAACTATACCTTTTTCTCAAGAGAATCCTACATGACTTTCATGTGTATACTCAGTGTTAGTTGTTTCTTTGTCATATTACCATAATCAAATCTTGTGTTTGTTCTTTACTCAATAGGGTTCTGTCATGGATCATACTGATCTTCAACGTGTCAAAATGGATAGTGCTGATGCATGTTTAATATTAGCCTCTGCAACAACCAAAGATCCATATCAAACTGATGCAGCAAATATCATGCGTGTTATAGCTGTAAAAAATTTTGCTAGTCATGTCAGAATTATTGTTCAATTACTTCAAACTGAAAATAAGGTAAGATAAATGTTCGATTTTGCTTGTAAATTCACACTACTTAATTTATATAAGTAGGATAAATATACTTCGTCAAGTGTAATTTGATTGGTGCATATTGTATTGTATCGGAGAGTCTTGCTTTTCTCTTTGTTTATATTGAGACCTACTGCTGCTGAGGCTGCTGCTACACTGGTCGTTTTCTCCTGCATTTGTTGTTGCGTTTGTGATAGAAGAGCCAGATCATCCGCGAAGTCTAAATCGTCCAGCTGCATCCTGCCTGTCCACTGTATCCCGTGATTTCCTCCAGATGTTGACGTCTTCATGATCCAGTCGATGACCAGGAGAAAGAGAAAGGGTGAGAGTAAGCAACCTTGCCTAACACCGGTCTTTACTTTAAACGACTCGGTGAGTTGTCCTCCGTGGACGATTTGGCAGTTTAGTCCATCATAGGAGTTCCGTATGATATTGACTATCTTCTCAGGCACGCCGTAGTGTCGAAGAAGCTTCCATAGTGTCGTCCTGTCCACGCTATCAAATGCCTTCTCGTAGTCGATGAAGTTGATGTAAAGTGATGAATTCCATTCGATCGATTGTTCCACAATGATACGTAGGGTTGCGATTTGATCTGTGCACGATCTATCCTTACGAAATCCAGCTTGTTGATCTCGAAGTTGGGCGTCCACGGAATCCTTCATCCTGTTTAACAATACCCTGTTGAAGACTTGCAAATCTCTCAACATTTTCGTTCCTTTCTCCCAGTCTATGTTGTCCCATGACGTCTTCGTATCCAGTGTTGTCCATTCCAACCTTAGCATTGAGATCTCCCATCAGAATTGTCAGGTCCTTGGTTGGGCACTTCTCGAAGATCGACTGCAGCCTATCGTAGAATTGGTCTTTAGCGTCTTCATCGTAGTCATTGGTAGGCGCATAGCATTGGATGACGTTCATTGTAATGCCCTCTCTCTTTGTTCTGAAGGAGGCTTTGATGATCCTTGGTCCATGAGATTCCCATCCTATAAGTGCATTTTGTGCTTTTCTGGACAGTATCAATGCAACTCCTTGTGTATGTGGGGTATTTTCTTCTTCATGATCGGAGTATAACAGAAGATCTCCTGAAGACAGTCGTTGTTGTCCAACCTGCGTCCAATGTGTTTCGCTGATTCCAAGAACCTCCAGGTTGTATTTTCTCATTTCTGCAGCAATTTGGAAGACTCTTCCGGTCTCCCACATTATTCGGACATTCCATGTACCTATAAAAATTTTCGCTTTGGTTGTAAGAAGCCGCATCGGCCTCATGACTTCCGAAGGAACTCGGCCTCATGAGACGTCATAATTATTCCTTCTACTCCCAGAGCACAGTTTAAATTGTTTGAATAATTTTTTCTGGTTAGCGTTTTTAGCGAGTTGGTTTTCTACGGGATAGGGTCGCTAACCCCATGCCCAACCCTCCTCCTTTACCCGGGTTTGGGACCGGCAGCAACCCCCAGAGGAGCTACAGGCGGAGTTAGTTTTAGGAACTAGTAGAACTAAATAGTGCTGCAGCAAATATATACCATTGTATCAAAGTCAACTTTGTTGAAGCAACATTTACAATGAACTGACCATTTCTACTACTCTACATTATTTTCACAGAAATAAAGTCTTGACAATGTATTCTCAGTACAAAAAACGAGATGTGCATAGTTCCAGAATTTTAATAGAATCTTTGCTATGTGGAACTCCCAATCAATCTCTAGTTTCAAATAATTCTAAATACCTCAAAGCAGTGTACCGGACGCTACTCACAATGATGTTTATAAGTAGTGTGTAGTGGGACGTGCTGTCAAAGTTGCAACAGTTTTCGGACAGAGAGGAGAGCTTCGGTGCACTGAGAGCACGGCGTTAACAGACTATTTGAAGGTTATTCGAGAAAAATACGTCTCAGTTTGCAGAACACACCGGAAGATGCAAATGGAAGATTGAAGGCTGTATATATGCATTATGTCAATACTTTGTGACTTCTTTCAGGAAACATACATAACTCCTGCATAATTTTGTGTTTTACATTTGGTGGCACTGACCACGGGGAGGTGGGGAGTACGTAGTTCTGTGGATGCAGTGGAGGGGGGCGTTGGGGGAGTCGTTACTTGATGAGATCTGGCTCGGAAAGGAGACTTCGAATGTATTGGTCTAGTGAGGTGGTGTTGAGCATAGCAGTCGCTGTCGACAGAGAAGAGATGTGGAACTTCACAAGTACTTGGTGGATATCGGATCTAGATGGCTCAGCGTGTTGACAGAGCTACTGAGGTCAATACACTCGCAGGCTCGACATTTTGACGGGGAGTGGGGCACAAACTATGACAGAGACAGCGGTAAGGCAAGCGGAACGATGGCTAGCGTGACTTATTAGAGGGGGTGAGTGTACCGTGTAGTAGTAGGTATGAAGAAGTAGAAGTAGAACTTTCAGTAACAGAAGAGGAAAATGAGGAGAAGGGGAAGAAAGACAAAAGTAGTTTGAGCAGCAAGAAGAATGGAAGAACGATGAAGCTTGCAAGAGACAGCTCAAGAAAGATGTGTTATTGGTGTATTCAATGTATTCTTTTCATATTTTACGAATGTAGTGTGCTATTTACCTAATACAATAAATTAGTTTACCCTACTCAAAATTCCTTTTATTTCATCAGAAATAAAGTCAAAATGTTCACTGCCAAGATTAATTCATTTACATCAATCAATCAAGTAATTATTTATTTATTTAAACACATAAATATTGGTACAAAGTGGCACCAGATATATATGCACCATACAAATCTCATTTCATTTGTGAGAGGGATGTGATACTGCACAGGTGCCCAAACCGAAGCATGTGTTTTTCTTACGGGGCCAAACTCGGAGCCTTCGACCTACAGATCTGATTCACAAGGCAGTAGAGCATCGTGAGGAGATGCAGTCCCATGGTAGACGGTCACCAACGATTGATTCATGCACCATTTGTTCCATCAGGATACTGGAACCCATGTGCACCACTGGTTTGGAATCAGGGTTTACCAACTCCCCTAGGTGGATTCACCGTTTCCACCAACATGGTTAAAGCGCCCGAATATTCGCTTTTCATCCTCTCAATTTCATAAACAACACCCGTGGTTCGAGAAGGCAGTGAGTAGGACTTCCCTGGTAGAGGCTATATACGCGTGGTTATGTGAGAGCATTTGGAGAGGAAGAATGGACTCTCCCCACTCTCAGCCGTACCAGGGCATTTGTCATAGTTTTTACAATTCATTTTATTATGATCAACCTCTATAAAGTATTAACACATATGTTTAATTTCAAGAAGATTCTTCTCGACAAAACATTTTAGCTGTTTTATTTCTATCATGAACATTGATTTCATATTTTAAAATTGTTTTAATCCACTTTTTCATAAATAACTAAGAATCTGAAAGAAACCAGTACTATTTCATCAAAATCAATATATTCTCAAAACCTTAATGATTTTTCACATAAAAAAGGTACAAACTTCCGTTGTTTGCGTAAACTTGTTCCGATGACCTTAAACCGTCATTAAAGGTAATCACCAAATGTTTTAATTTAAGAAAGTATCTTAAAAAAGTAAGAAAAATAGAATAAGTACAATATTGTTCTGTATAGCAGAGATGGATAGTGGCTAGCAGTGGAATACAGATTGACGCGCGTCAAGTCCTATTTGGGAATCGTCAGCTGGATGTACCTGCATCTCAGAGTTGACGTCCACTCTGAGACTCGAATGCAGTACCTTTCGCTTCAAACGCCATAACGTTATCCACTCACCTACTGAGTCCTGATAGCCACTTGTTTGTGCGATGGGGTGAAGTTTGAAGCTAGGGTACTGGGTTCGAGTCCCAGAGTGAACATCAACTCTGAGATGCAGGTACATCCAGCTGACGAGTCCCAAATAGGACGAAACGCGCGTCCTGGATTCCACTGCTAGCCACTATCCATCTCTGCTTACCATGCTTGTGAATTAAGGTATATCGAGGCAATACGCACAGTATGCACATATGCCAATTAGAGACTGACCAGTTGCAGTCCTAACAAAATCGATGGGAAGATTCAAACAAACAATACCAAGTGAATTGTTCTGTATAGTTTACAGTTTTTTGAAGATTTGTGATTTGGTCTATATGTTGAAGGTAAAGAATGTTTTCTCAATGGAATTTGGTCAATTAGTTTCCATCTAAATTATTTAATAAGACTCTAAATAGTGTGTTATAAAAGATTGATTAGTAATCTTACAATAAATGTTTGTAAACCCTTTGGACTGCATCATGAGGAAAGCGCTAACTTGGAATGGTGAAGGGAAGCGGAAAAGAGGAAGGTCAAAGAAAACATTACGTCGGGAAATAGAAGCAGATATGAAAAGGATGAATGTTAACTGGAAAGAACTGGAAACGATTGACCAGGACAGAGTCGAAAGGAGAATGCTAGTGTGCGACCTATGCTCCTCCATGAGGGGTAATAGGCGTAAGTAAGTAATTAAACTCTTTGGAAGATCAAGAAATCAGTCATACGAGGATACTATCTTACAATCGCATATGAATATGATAGATGAATTATTAATGGTAATTATAACTCTAATAGTAACTTGACATTTGTGATTAAAGATTCAGAAACCGAAATCAAATCGTTAGTTAATGATTCCTGTTTGGAATACAATTCTTATCATAATGACTTAGAATTTATAGTTTTTACCGTTCACAAGAATCTCGTTCACAATTTGTGGTTGTACAATAAATTTCATCTTATTAATTGTAAGAGTTTTAGGCTCTTGACATAGGTATTCTTGTCAAATATACCTAAAAACTAATGATAGATAGGAGTACTTACTTACTTACGCCTAGTACCCCTCGTCGAGGAGCATAGACAGCACACCAGCATGCTCCATCCCATCCATGTCTTCGGCAATCCTTTCCAGTTCTTTACAGTTAACATTCGTTCTTTTTATATCTGCTTATATTTCTCGACGTAATGTGTTCTTTGGCCTTCCTCTTCCCCGCTTCCCTTTCGGATTCCAAGTTAGGGATGGCTTCGTGATGCAGTTCGGTGATTTCCTTAATGTATGTCCGATCCACTTCCAACGTCTTTTCCTAACTTCCTCTTCAGCTGGAAGCTGGTTTGTCCTCTCCCATAAAACGCTGTTGCTGATAGTATCCGGTCAGTGAATGTTGATTATTTTGCATAGACTACTGTTTATAAATACTTGTATCTTGTTGACGATGGTTGTAGTAGTTCTCCACGTTTCAGCTCCATATAGTAGGACTGTCTTCACGTTCGTATTGAAGATTCTGACAGTTGTTTTGAGTTCCATATGTTCTTCAATTGTAGGAATGCGGTCCTTGATTTGCCAATCCTCGCATTTACATCTGCATCCAATCCCCCTTGTTTATCAACGATGCTTCCTAGGTACGTGAATGTTTCCACCTCTTCCAGAGTTTCGCCATCAAGTGTAATTGGGTTGGTGTTCTCCGTGTTGTATTTGAGAATCTTTCCTTTTCGTTTGTGTAGGTTGAGACCTATTGATGTAGAGACTGCTGCTACATTAGTTGTCTTCGTCTGTGTTGGTTCGTATGTATGAGATAGGAGGGCTAGGTCATGTGCGAAGTCCGAATCGTCTAATTGATTCTGAGATGTCCATTGTATTCCGTGCTTCCCGTCAGATGTCGAAGTCTTCATAATCCAGCCAATCACCAGAAGAAAGAGGAAGGGTTTAGGAGTGCTTCACTTATTTTGTGTTAATAATTAGAAATTATTATATTGATAATGTTTGATTCAGTACTATAGTTTTGATCTACTTTAAACTACATACACTCCTGACGTATATCTCATAAAAGTTACAAAGTATCTAAGACACTTACAATCCTTCCATTTCTCCTTTTTTTTCTTACTCCAAGGCTTATCTATTAAATAGTCCATATTGGAATTGGGAATGTGGTGATGAGATTATCTGTTTTAGTGAATTAAAATTAGGCTTTTTAGCACAAAGTTGTATAGCTCCAGGATTTTCTACATTAGTTACAAATTTATTTACAATGCACTCTATTCGTGGATTAAAAGAAGCGGCAAAATTTACCAAAGTTTATATTGATCCATATCATTCAAAAAATATTCATCAATCATCTTTATTAACTGATAACTTCAATTCAAATCCATTTTCCACAGTAGTATCGCATAAATCCCGGACATTAACAAAATCAATACAAGAAGGTTATTGTTCTTCAACTTCTCTTACTTTTAAAAAAGATACAAGAAAAATGAAATGGTTAACTAATTTACCCAATATGATTAAATCATTATTAAAACCAAAGCGAAATGAACAATCAAGAAAGATGGATCTAAGACTTCAATCAACACAATATTCAATGCTTACTAGATCTTCTACAATATTTGATCCAGAATCCTTAAATAATGATCCTTATCAATCATCATCATTATTAGATTCAAATATATGGGTTTATAATTATTTACATGGTGCTAGTATGGAAATTTATTCAGCTGAATTTTCTATAGCATTTAATGGTTTACAATTTACTGAAGCTGCTATTATATGTCGAAAATATTTAGATTTATTATTAATTGCTGTTGTAGCTAAAGTTCATAAAAATACTGAATTTTATTTAAATTCATCTAGTAACAATCATAATTCACATGATGATAATAACTATGAGGATGACGATGATGATGATGGCGATGATGGCGATGATGACGATGATGATGGTGATGGTGATGATGATGCCAATAAGATTAAATACTACTTAGCTATCTCACCAACTCTAGATAAAAATGTTACCATTCATCAAGGAACTGTTGGCTTTTTCATATGTGATTCACAAGAAAATGCAAATAAAGTTACATATTATTGTATAAATTGTCATACTAATAATTCATCAACAACCAATGTTAAATCTTGCTCATGCCAATTGAAAGTACACAAGTCTAGTTCACATTTGAAACCAACTGAATGTTGTAAATCTAAAAAGGATTCTAAACATAATCAACAAATAACAACTAAGGATATAAAAACATGCTTAATCATACCAGAATTTAAAGAAGAATCAGAGAAGACATCGAATCCATCATCAGCATTACATCAGAATGATGATGATATGGCTATCATTTCTGATAAAGGTTTTAATGAATCTAATTCAAAATGTAAAACATTATCAAGTAGAAATAGTCTTCATTCAGCTTATGATACAGAAGAATATTATTCAGATATTCATGGAAATCAACTTAGAAGATCAAGTGATACAGAGCTTCATTTAAAAAATCATACATATAATCCTACTTATGAATTTGATATTACAGGTAAATTAGTTTGTTTTATCTCCTCTACCTTACTTCAATCAATTTCTTTTCTTTCTTTGAGTGGATATTTAGAAAATGCTCCCAAATGCCCTGGTACGGCAGAGAGTGGAGAGAGTCCGCTCCCCCTCTCCAAATGCTCTCACATGGCCAGCGAATATATAGCCTCTGACAGGGAAGTCCTACTCACTGCCTTCTGGTGGCACCGGTGTTGTTTACGAAATTGAGAGGAAGAAAAGTGAATGCCCGACGCTTTAATCGGGTTGGTGGATACGGAGGATCCACCTAGGGGAGTTGGAAAACCCTCATTCCAAACCAATGGTGCACATGGACTCCAGTATTCTGAGGGAACAAATGGCGTACGAATCAATCGTTGATCACCGGCTACCATGGGACTGCATCTCCTCACGATTCTCCACTGCCTTGTGGATCAGATCTTTAGGTCAAAGGCTCTGGGTGTGGGCCCCTAAGAAAACCACCTGCTTCAGTTTGGGCACTTAGTCAGTATCACAGCCCTCAAGCAAATCGAATGAGATTTGTATGGCGCATATGTATCTGGTGCTTCCTTGTACCAATATTTATGTGTTTAAATAATAAATAATAATATATACATAAGCGTTCCACACATCATCAGAGGATGATCATTTATGTCTTGAAATTCAGCAAGTGCAAAGCGAACCACTTTAGTATCAACCAGTAATCCTAGTGAATAAAAGAGAGAAATCCCGTAACTCCTTCACCAGGTAAGTAACCGTTAAGGCTTTGAAGAGTAAACTGTTACTTTTGAATGATCGGAGTATTCAATATTGATAATATCTGGTTCAATAAATAATGACTGATATGAATATTTCCTAACATTCTTCTTTGTGTTAATTTCTTCCTTTATTATTCTAGGTATGTATTACTATTGTGGCCGTCAAGAATTTGAAGATAATCTAATTACCCCAAACTCATCTCATAAGCAATCACATGATTTATATAATCATATTCTAGTATGTATTCTAGCTGAACCAGATGCTCCACTGCTAGGACTTCATTCATTTGTTATGCCATTAAGAGCAAGCAATTTTCATCCTAATCAACTAAAAACTATACTGTTTCTAGGTGATATAAAATTTCTACAAAGAGAATGGTCAAATATAGCTAATTTCCCAAAAGTTTATACACTTGCCGGTAGTCCATTATCTAGAGCTGATCTAAGAGCTGCACGTATACAATATTCATCAGTTTGTGTTATATTAGGATCAAGAGGTACAGTTAAGGTTGATGATCCATATATGTTGGATAAAGAAGTGATCTTATGTACATTGAATATAAGAGCAATGCAATTTTCTCCTTTTCATCGTCATAAAACATTAGCACATAATATTCTTAAACGTCGAAGCGGTTCTGAGATTCCATTGATCACAGAATTAATGACAGACAATAACATACACTATTTAGATCCAGATCATTCAGGTGGATTACAAATTGCGGCTTCATTAACTGCACCATTTGCCAAAGGCATTGCATTCACTAGTTCTGTTCTTGATGTATTAGCAAGTACAGCATATTTTGATCGTAATTCAATGACACTAATACGCCATCTTGTGACTGGTGGTGTTACACCAGCTTTGGAACAGTGGTTAGCTGAGGGCGGCGGTTTAATTGGTCATGATGACCGGTATTTCAAAGGAAAAGCCTTATTCACTAAGAATATTCAAACCACTAGGAAAGATAGGCGCCCATTTCCCGGTCTCCTTGAAACAAGACAAAGACCACGAATTGAACAAATCTCTTTAACTAATTCTCGTTTAATCAAAACTGATAACAATGGTCAAATAACTTTATTTCGTAATTATGGCGATTTATTTTGTCATGCTATTCAACAATATGGAATTCTATGTCTTGGTATTTATCGTCTATCATTCAACAAATTTAATGGATTATCTCGTTTAGTTACAGTTCCATGTAGCATTAAACCAAAACTTAATTCCACTGATGAATCAATTCAATTAATAGAAACTAAGAGTCATGCAAGTTGTCAAAATAATGATAAACAATTTGCAAAATTACACAGACGATTAAGTACATGTGGATTACCTATAGACAGAGTACTACGTAAGCATTCTTTACAATTAAATAGGAAATCACTTAGTATTGAGGATACCCTACAACAACAACAGCAGCAGCATGATAATCCAACATCTAATCAGAATACTAACTTGGAATTAATTGACCAACATTTTAATAAATTCGGATTAAATCGTTATGTAATATCAAATCCACCGAATCATTTTGAACTTTATCCAACTGATGTAATATTTTGCTTATGTCCATTTGAAAGTGAACTGATGTATTAAGCAGATGAATATGATGCTAGCTAATATGATCAATTTACTACTTGATCATTTTCAGATTTTTTCCTTTACTATTCGTTGTCTACTCATTTTCCCTCACACCCTGTCTCTCGCTATTTCTGTATATGTCTGTGTATGTGCTATTTCATCAGATTTTGTTTTATTTATTGCCTGACTTTTACTCTCGAAATGTGTTTCCAGAATTATTATCTCATTTATAAATATGTTACACAAACCTAATTCAGTCACCTAATCACTTATTGATTAGTTGATCGATCGACTCACTTGCTTTTATGATAACAGATGGAAATAAAACTGGAACAATATGCACCAACTTCTTCTTCTTCTTCCTCCTCCTCTTAATTCGACTAATTTATGCACATGTACATGCTGTACCCAAATGATTAGTGATAGATTATTGATGAGTGAGCTTTCAAAGTGTTTCCCTTCAATTTCCAAAATATCAATGCATGCTTTCCTATCTCTTAAGTGAACAGTATTGAAGACTGTTTGCACTAAAAACTTTATCAATAAACAACTTCAATGATTCTAAGATGTATATTGAACCCATCACATTCACAATTGATTGATCCTTGGATGGTGATCGATGTAATGTGTGTCAGGTCCTTCTTAGTGCAGATAGATTCCTATAGACCAAGGACCTGTCACACATTACATCGATCACCACTCAGTGATCAATCAATTGTAAATACATCTCAGTCCTACAGGAAGTCAGTCGCGACCCGAAAGCTCAGTGTTAGTGTCTCTGAATGTGAAGCTAAGTGATATGGGATCAAATCCATCAGGGAGCATCATTACAGGTACACCTTGGTGATAAGTGCCCAATAGTATGAAAACTATGTCCAGGGTTTCCTGTTGACTACCTTGAACCTATCATAGTTTGACCAATTAACTGTCATAGTTTTTTAGTTTTAATAACAGACCTCCGAGTTAAATGAGATAATAAGAAAGTAAATTTATCTTGAATTATTTCAGTTTCAGTTTAGAAAGGAAAGGAGGCTTGATGGTTTCTGTTAGTCCTGGCAATGATGGTATCTCATCTGGTCCAACTTTTTTTGAAAGAGTCGTCAGATGGAGCTTCAATCACGTGTTGAGCTAATGAATCCCACTCGTTGATGATTCGATGGGAAAGTCGATATTCAACTGACAAGTAATTTGTTCTGAGCTTGTGAGCTTTTTCAAAGTGTCCTCGAAAATTCTCTGTTTTGGAAGACAGGAAAAATGAGGACATATTAGGTACGAATTTATCACCAAGTAATTTGAAAACTGTAATCGAGTTGTCTCTGGTTCTTTGATATAACAACGGGAATAGGTTTAGTATAGCCAGTCGATCATTATACGCGAGCTTTGCTATACCGGGAATCAGGTTACTTGTTGTTCGCTGGACCTTTTGCAAAATCTCACTTTCTTTTTTAAGCAGGTAGCCCAATGTTATTCACCATGTACGTATCTGTACCTTGATGATTAATATGCATCACAATGCACTTGGAAGTATTTGTCGGCAACTGCCAAGTTTGAGACCATTCAGATAATTTCTCCAGGTCATTTTGGAGTTCTAAGCTATCACTTCCTATTGCTCTCCATATCTTGACATCGTCAGTATATAGCAAGACCGATTATGATAGGAGACGAAGAAGGTCATTTACATACAAGAGAAACTATATTGGCCCCAAAACTGTATCCTGAGGAACTCCGCTAAGCATAGTTTCTTAGCCAGGCAACTTGGAGTTCATCCGTACTCTTTGCTTGCGCCCAACTAGGAAGTCCACATTAATAGATCGCCTCCAACCCCAACATTTCTTAACTTATATAACAGCCGATTGTGAGGAACTTTGTCGAAAGCTTTGCAGAAGCCAATGTAGGCTACGTCTATAGGTAACTTTTGGTCTTTAAGAGTGCACCAACTTTCACGAGCCCTAATAAGTTAATGAGAAAAGAATAACCTATTCTAAAATCATGCTGCTTTTCCGAAAGGATCCAGTCTTCATCGAGGTATTCAAGCAGCTCTTCCTGAATAATCTTTTTTGAAATTCTAACGACCACGCTAGTTAGGCTAACAGGTCGGTAGTTCTGAGGTTTATGTCTCCTACCTGTTTTGAAGGCAAGACTTACTACTACGGAAATCTTATTTGGAAGTGAACGTGCATTGATATGTAATAGGCTTAAAAAGGAAGTATGGTGTGTAAGTAATCCGATAACGTCTGCATAGAAGTTTTACAATTCAGTGGTGACTGGAATATGGTTCGATTTGATTGTCAGAGCGTATAGGCTATGGCTTGAACAAGCTGTGGTGAGAGAAGGACGAGGTATTTCAGTAGGACAAAAATATCATTATTTCGGTAAGGTAAAATTATTTGCAGAAATCAATTTGGCGAACAGTTAGGATAATTCTCTCCTCGTTGTGGTAGAGTAAATGGTGAGTAACCTAGCAGTTGTATATTGTAGGTTCAGTAAAGAGAAAGCTTTTAGTTCAATCTTGCAACATCTTGGTTTCTTGCAGTTTGCCCGGTAATAGGTCTGGTTACATTGAGGTTGTGGTGGTATTCTTTTATATCAGTTGAGTACGGTATATTTCGTCGATTTGGAAAGTGGAGTTTTAAAAATTCGCCTGTTGTTTGTACATTTAGTTGGGATGACGAAATGGTGGATCCACCAGTTCGTATCTGTGTACCCATGTAACCACCTGTATTATTAAAAAGCTCAAAACTGGTGTTCGATAGTCTATATTTGTTTGGTTGAGCCTCTATAACATCTTTGGTAGTGGTTTTTGAATGAGACACTTCTATATTTAATTTCTTCTAATATGATTTAGGTGTATCAATCTTAACAGTGTTTCGAAAAGCTTCGTGTTAGGATTGGATGTTTGAGTATGAGCTTCTTCTATTCTGTTGAGAGATATCGAATCGAAAGGCATAAGATCTGTGTCAACATTTACTATACATTAGTTATCTGAGGTTACAACAGGCTATGTGAAATCTGTAGCAAGTTAACATTCTTTATTGGTAATTTAGAGTACTGATTGACAAACGATATGTTGACCGCACGAATAAGTCCTGTCGATGAACAGACTGAATCCATCAAAGTTTGTATATTATTATCTTCATCTGAGGTAGATTTTGTGTTAGTCTTTGATTGGTGGTCTTATTTGAGACTAAACGTGGATTCCTAAACTTATCAAAGCACAGATTAATCGTTTGAATTCCTTCAGTAGTTCAGCTGCTAAATGTGAAATGAACCTAAGCAAAATAAGACACGAGAATCCATGAGTCTTGTACTAAAGTGAATACATTAGCGTGGACTATCCTCAAAGTTAGTTGCTCTTGGTATCGAGTAGCCCACTGGTTTGAGAGTGATTTTGTCAGGTAAATTATAGAAATTCACGTTATTTCCAGAGATAAGTCGCCTAGTAACTTCGCTAGCAATAAAATCAATAACAGATATTGATTTAATAATGTCTTCATGATCAGAAGGAATCACTTGGCATAGAGCAGAGATAGAAACAGATTTGGTATTATTCTAGCTATCAGAGCTTTCCTAGGCTTGTTCCTTCAATCGGCGACCCATTTTCATTTTAGTGTTATGCTTAATTCTATATATACATTATGTACCAGGAGTAAATAATAACCATATACTTATTTTCAGAGTGCGTGTTATTGTAACACAATGGTCCAAGGTAGAGTAGAAAATTTGTCTAAAGTTCACACGTTCTTAGAACAGAAAAATACTCTCAATTTTAGAGAAACTATACACAACTCAGAACACATCTTAAAAACTGTGTGAACTAGTTTTTCTTCTGAGTATACTACGTGATTTCATGTTATCAGGAATTTCAATCAATCAATCTCACCTTACAAGTAGATACTGCGTTATGGTGAACCAATGAAAGTGAATCTTGTTGATCAGATGATACCAATGATCAAGGTCCATAATGATAGTCTACTTAGCATACTTAGGGTAGAATATTTATAATCTAAATTCTGATTGGTAAAGTTATCAAGTGAAATCGATTAGTCGTTCAAATATATATCAGTGACATCACAGTATAAATTATAAAAAAATTCTTAATTAAGTATACTCATAAAATGGGGACATTTCTAGGACATATTTATCCAGGACTTCTCATAGCATTGATAGCATTGCGTAATCTATGGATTAACTTGAGATCATTTTATACTGAAGAGTATAATCATAACCAGTTGAAATCAAAGAACAATCTAATAGAATCTATATTCTACATTGTAACTGGGATTATATGTTCTTTGAATGAAATACTTCCTTGTTTAATATATGATGAATATTATTTTGGAGGACATAGCTATCAACATATGACAATGTTTATTGCGTTAATACTTTATGGTGTGATTCGAATTATTGTATCTTACAAATTACCACTTTTATCTAAGTATGTTTAATTTTGTTGTACAATATGGATAACTATAGTTAGAAACGGTTTTTTTAGATCAATATATCTTATGTCGTTTTATAGAGTTGAGATCATGAGTCAATTGAAGCTAGACCAACCATGGAAAACCTGGAAGCACTGGATGGCCATTTCGTCCTGTTGTGAGACTCCTCAGCAGTGCGCATGCACGATTCTGCCTCACGAGATTCGGACCCAGGACCTATCAGTCTCGCGTCAGAGCAATTGACTCATGATCTCAACCATATAAAATTATTAAAATCTCCACGAAACCCCCTTCTGATATCTTATGTCGATTAAGAGTAAACTTTATTCGATCTAACAGATACTAACTGTCACCAAGTGTGATCATTATATTCTATATGAACTTTGTATATTGATATAGCTCAGGGGAATGATTGTGATGGAGTTTTGTTCTCTGAGCTGATAATGTCGCTCAGAAGGAGGACGAAAGCTCCACCACCAAACCATCCAGCTCAGAGAAAAAAACTCCATCAGAACTTTGTATATGTTTTACAGTAACTCAGTGCATTTTTTCTCTTATATAATGTATGTTATCTAATTCCGAGAACGGACTGTAGATATTACAAATAGAAATTAAGTATTCCATTCAGTAAACAATTATTCGATATGGATATCAATACTAGAATGCACATATAAAACAAATATCCTAAACTACATTGCTCCTGTACAATTAATTAATTTGATAGTGAAAGGAATCTCTTGATATCTATTCTAGTTGTCTACATTTTTGACAAAACTTGATTAAGGAGTTTTTTTGTCGAAATTTCTAGTAATTTTTTATATATAGTTGACATCATGAGTCTCAGTGGTCTATCGGTTAAGTTCTCTGGCGTGAGACTGGTAGGTCCTGGGTTCGAATCTCGCGAGGCGGGATCGTGTATGCGCACTGCTGAGGAGTCCCACAATAGGACGAAACGGCCGTCAAGCAGTGCTTCCAGGTTTTCCATGGTTGGTCTAGCTTCAATTGACTCATGCATTCAACTATGGAAATACTAAAATCTCCACAAAACCCCTTCTGATTTTATTAATTATTAACAATACACTATCCCTATAACTGGGAAAATTTCAGAACATCAGTTGTACAGATAGTATATTGTTAATAATTAGTAAAAATCCTCAAACGCATAGGTAAGAGAGTGTAGAGAACAAAACGAAACGAACTAGAGAAGATATGTGAACCAACTCAGATTCGTTTCGCTTTGTTCTCTACACTCTCTCACACTCTCTTCCCTATGTGCTTGAGGATTATGAACAATATACTATCTGTACAACTGTTTTGACTTTTGAATAATCTCAAGTAAATTCGTAATATTACAAGGAGATTTGGCCTGCCTCAATACTCAGTCAACGGAATATTATCTATTGGAGTCAGATATAGAGGAATTAACCTCTGCAGATATCGTACTGTAGAATTAGTTAACTTCAATAACATCGGACGTTAACCTTTATCTGCACATCCTGTTTAACAAATCATAAAATTATTACAATCGAATCTATCTATGAATATATTATTTATTTACTGTTTTATTTTAGGCAAATTTCTGATTTTTTCTACCTTCTGATGGGATCTGCCATATACTTTATGCTGACGTTTCATCTACACGGACGAACTCCATTTGATACACATTTACATAATATTTTGATTCAGACAATATTATTCTCAACTATATCATATTTTGTAGAGATTATTTCCAATTCTAATCTTATCTTCAGTTTGATACATAAATTTTGTCTCATTTTAACTGGTTCATGGCTTTGTCAAGTAAGTTCTACAGTTTTATCATTTTTAAAAATATGTCAAGAGATTTATTTCATAGTGTTATATCCCGTGGAGAATAATGAATGGTAACTTTGAGGATTATTTATGAACCAATATGATGAGTATATTTCTTATTGTATAATTGTTAAGTAACTAAACTATTCATATTCATGTCCCTCTTATTATAAGTTTTATTTTGACCCACAGACTATTATTATGCGATTTACCATTCTTGAGTTATGCCCAGTCTATTGATTACTGTTCCACCTATTCACAGCCACATTTGGCCAAATCTTGTACAAATATTATTTTTTATTTTATGGTACGATGTGGTCAGTTTGATTGGTATATAAACCGAGTATATTTGAGAATAATGATTCATATCGCAGAGACTGAGATTAGTGTTCTGGACTTAACTGACTGGGCTAGACAGAAAGCAGGACTGATAAATACTAAAGACTGCTCACACGGCTTTGTGTATCATTGGGTGATCAATGAATTCACTGCTCTCCAATTGGGCGGTCTCATAACGTTCATACATACAAATAGGGCACCTACGTATCACTCACACGATATAACACAAAGTAATAACAATGAGATTTACATGAATAAATGAATTGATTCCAGTTAGATACATGTCATTATTTTTATGAGTCTTACAATCTCCAACACTAATATTATCAGAACAAGTATTTGACTTCTTTTTAAAAAATTGAAATCGCGGTGTGTTATACCTTGTGGACTTGCACCCCTATTAGTATATGATAATGCCGCCAATTAGGAGAACAGTGACTTATCAACCGGACCAATGATGCATAATGCCCGTACGAGCAGTCTAGAGTCTTTATCGGTCCCTGCTTTCTGCCTAGACCTGTCTGTTAAGTCCAGAACACCGACCTTAGCCTCCGTGATATGAATCACGTATTTCAAACATACTGGGTTTATATACAAGCCAACCATACCATATCTTACCATAAAATAGAAAATAACATTTGTACAAGATTTGGCCAAATGTGGCTGTGAATAGGGGGAACAGTAATTAATAGACTGGGTATAAATCAAGAACGGTAAATCGTATAATAATAGTCTATGGATCGAAATAAAGCTAATAATAAGTGGAACATGAATATGCATAGTTGAGTTGCTTAACAACCATACAATAAAAATATATGTATAGTATTAGTCCAGAAATCGATTCCAACAATTACCATTCTTAATTCTCATCGGGATTTAACAAGGTGAATGTTCAAAACTAAAAAGAAGAGGAAATAAAAGAGTATTATTAATTATAAATAATCATTGCATCTGAATATAAATATAATCAGAAAGGGGTTTTGGTGGATATTATAGTAACTTATTAGTTGAATTCATAAGTCAATTAAAGCTAGACCACCATGGAAAAAGTGGAAGCACTGAACAGTTGTTTCGTTCTAGTATAGGACGTGGATACACGCTGCTGAGGAGTCCCATGCTAGAACGAAACGGCCATCCAGTGCTTCCAGGTTTTCCATGGTGGGCTAGCTTTAATTGACTCATGAATTCAACTAATGAATAGAAATAACCAAGTAATTACATTGTCATATATAATACGAAATTTGAGATGGACTAATGAAGTTGTATTATTCTACAGTTTGTGTCCAGAATTATCAATGAGACAAATTGCACGAAATTGATATCAACTTCATTTCCATAAAACATACACTAGATAGTGAGCATTCAGCTAGTGAAATTATGTACAAGATCCTTGTTGTGGTTCCACATAATTCAACCATCTTGATCATGCAAAGCACACAATGTAAATTGCTCTAACATATTTAAAGTAATTACAAATCCAAATAGGTTGTGCAATACACAAAATTGGATGTTCTTTTTGTGGTACCTATTGTTGAGTGTTCACCAAATAATCATTCGAAGTTCTTACGGATTATTATCCGACAAATCTGTATTTCTCAGTAAATAAGAATCACCTTAACACACCACACATTATTTGTGTGCTCAGTTAGTCTGGATCGTTCATTGAGAACAATACTGACAGAACTTTAATTAAAGTTCTAGATGTCACTAGGTTCAAGGCTTGTAATGTTATATTATTACGTAGTTGAATTGTATAATATCATATGTTGCATAATGTTGAATGTGGATAAAATCTATGGGCAATTGATGAATGGGTTTGGGATCTTCTCAAAATACTGAAAATGAATTGTCTTTAAGCTGTGTGTGCATCCAAATACTTGAACAATAAAAATAGTTATATTGTGAAAATTTTTAAGTGTATCGGGTAGACTATTCTATCGGATTACTTCAGTGATTGGAAAATACTTTACGTACTTACTTACGCCTGTTACCCATCGTGGAGGAACATAGGCCGCACACTAGCATTCTCCATCCAACCCTGTCCTCGGCAATCGTTTCCAGTTCTTTCCAGTTAACATTCATCCTTTTCATATCTGCTTCTATTTCTCGGCGTAATGTGTTCTTTGGCCTTCCTCTTTTCTACTTCCCTTCCGGATTCCAAGTTAGCGCTTGCCTCATGATGCAGTCTGGTGATTTCCGTAATGTATGTCCGACCCAATTCCAACGTCTTTTCCTAACTTCCTCTTCAGCTGGAAGCTGGTTTGTCCTCTCCCATAAAAGACTGTTGCTGATATTATCCGGCCAGTAAATTTTGAGTATTTTGCATAGGCAACTGTTTATAAATACTTGTATCTTGTTGACGATGGTTGTAATAGTTCTCCACGTTTTAGCTCCATAAGAAAATACCTAAGCCACTTAGTTAACTCACTGTTACAAGATTTGTTGTGTAATATCACTACCAAAGTTTTGAAAGGCTACTTGGATCGGAGATACACAATCCAGTATGAAAAAGCAAAGCCACAGAATAATGTGGATTGAATGAGTGATCTGAAAATCTGTTCTCATGCAACATATCGAATGGTTTAGTGTTACGTTCAGTGGTCGTCTGATTCAAATACATGTACACATGTCTGCTGTAGGTATGCCTAACATAAAAAGGTTAAGAATGGGAAGGAAGCTGAAATAAAACAAACTGAATAAAGTATACACAAAATATGAGTAAACAAAAGTCTTTTCTTCTGACCCAGATGAGGATTAATTTTAAGCTAAGGGCTTGTGAAAGTTCGTAACCGATTTCATTGAATAGCACGTTTTGTTTATTGTCTCTCATCTACCAATTGGACTTTAGTTGACATGTGAAAACGGGAATATGGTATGGCTGAATTCCCACGACCTATCATTTCATGATTACAGGAAACACTGATGATTTTTCTATTGCTTTATAACAATGTACTATCTAAAAAAGTGCTTCGTTAAAGATACCCATCTATCCTACCGAGCTTTATTTGTCCTAACAAGTTAACTTCTTACAAAGTATAAACAATAGATACGAAGGGCGATTATTTTGTAGTGATTTTAGAGATAAATACTTCAGTAGAAATAACATGGTCATGACTAAATGTAAAATATGTATCGAAATGATCACAGAAACTTCAGGTAACAAGTAACAACTATATTGAGGATTTCAATTAAATATCTTGGTCAATTAGCATACTTTATCACTTCGTACTATTCGACCAATTGCAGTCCAAAACATCAATGGGAAGATTCAAACAAAACAATACTAAGTGAATTTAAACTTCACCCCATTGCACAAGCAAGTGGCTATCAGGACTGAGTGGCCGAGTGAATAACGAGATGGCGTTTGAAGTCAAAGGTAATGGGTACGAGTCCCAGAGTGAACATCAACCCTGAGATACAGGTACATCCATTTGATGAGTCCCAAATAGGACTTGACGCGAGTCAAACTGTATTCCACTGCTAGTCACTATCCATCTTTGTTTATTCGCTTTTTATTTCAAAATAATTCGTTTTAGCTTTCAATATTTGCTTGTATTCACATAATTTTAATAATGATACACAATTTGTATTTATTTCTTGATAATTAGATTGGATTCTACCTTTATCCACCATGGAGTTGGTTAACTGTTTGGGATCAGAATGATATAAAATCCATTATACATGCAAATAACATTTTCTCATATCATATGATAATGATCTGTTTGACAATAATCATAATGATGTCTATTTTAAGTTGGAAAAATCGGCGTACAATACAACTGTCTAATCGTTTTTCTTCTGAACATAATCTACAAAGATCTTTTGTGAAACAATTTTGTTCAATGAACAGTTAACAAGTATCAAGTCATGATTATAAATTTGTGAAATTCTTTTGTTAACTTCCAATCTTATTGATAGTTAGACCTATTGAAGTATTTTCAATATGATATTTCAAGGATTTATTGTGAACGCTGTTGTTTTTCCCTTATTAATAAAGTTTCAAAAGTTGTTTAATGAAGTCAAGAATTATGATAACTTGATTGCTTGTTGACAATTCATGAAAACTTTACTAGATTCTTTTGTATTAAAATGTATTAATTGAAATGAAACTCATGACTTTATTTATTCTGTCAGGCAAAATAGTGTTTTATAAGAAAAGATGGATAGTAGCTAGCAGAGAAATCCAGAAGGCACGTTTCGTCCTATTTGGGACTCGTCAGTTGGATGTACCCGTATCTCAGAGTTGATATTCATTCTGGAGTTATCAGGACTCAGTAGTTGAGTGGATAACGAGATAGTGTTTGAAGCGAAAGGTACTGGGTTTGAGTCCCAGATTGAACATCAACCCTGAGATGCAAATACATCCATTTGACGAGTCCCAAATAGGACTTGACGAGCGTCAAACTGTATTCCACTGCTAGCCACTATCCATCTTTGCTTATAAAGTTTGTGACTTCAGACAATATCGATGCAATCCGTATTGGATGCACATATGCCAACAAAAGACTGAGCAATTGAAGTCCAAAATAACAATTAGAAGATACAAGTAAACAACAACAAGTGAAAATAGTGTTTAGTTGTGTTAAATGATCGGTTATAACTTTTCATTAACGTATTGAATTGACTAGTAATTAAGTGTAAATATAATTAGTAATTCCTGAAACAATATGTGACATCAATATGCATTCTTTTTGCATGTAGTAGTCGTTATCATATTAGATTAATTCTGTTGCCTAATGCACTTTCTTCCATAATTATTATCTCTAAACGTCATTTATAAATATATTACACAAACCTAATTCAGTCACCTAATCACTTATTGATTAGTTGATCGATCGACTCACTTGCTTTTATGATAACAGATGGAAATAAAACTGAAACGATATGCACCAACTTCTTCTTCTTCTTCCTCCTCCTCTTAATTCGACTAATTTATGCACATGTACATGCTGTACCCAAATGATTAGTGATAGATTATTGATGAGTGAGCTTTCAAAGTGTTTCCCTTCAATTTCCAAAATATCAATGCATGCTTTCCTATCTCTTAAGTGAACAGTATTGAAGACTGTTTGCACTAAAAACTTTATCAATAAACAACTTCAATGATTCTAAGATGTATATTGAACCCATCACATTCACAATTGATTGATCCTTGGATGGTGATCGATGTAATGTGTGTCAGGTCCTTCTTAGTGCAGATAGATTCCTATAGACCAAGGACCTGTCACACATTACATCGATCACCACTCAGTGATCAATCAATTGTAAATACATCCCAGTCCTACAGGAGTTCAATCGCGGTCCGGATAGCTCAATGGTAGTGTCTGTGAATGTGAAGCTGGGTGATACGTCAAGGAGCATCATTTCCCTCAAGATTACAGATACATCTTGCTGACAAGTGCCCAATAATACGAAACCTATGTCCAAGGTTTCCTGCTGACTACCTCGAACCTATTGTGGGGAGTAATGTAACGTCGTGTACTATGTTACACCTACATAGCTTATTCTAGTTTCTGGACAAGCCAATTCACCTATAACGTTATGAGTCATATTTTGATCTTGTTAATTATTCCCTTATTGACCTTGACAATTTTTTTATATTGGCGTATGTGTATGCACCCTTCTTATCCTACCTATCACATGTCTGTCATTCATTTTAGTCTGACTATAAATGTTGATTAATGCTTGCTCATAGAGAGTTAGCTTACCAGCCATCTCCCATGCATGTCATTCTTACTTCGTTCGCTAACATTTACTCATGTGCTCACTGCCTTCTAGTTTATGTTATTTGTCGATAAAAATGTAGTTGCCGCTTCCCTTTGTCTTCTGATATTATACACCGTTCTGATTGATATAATAACGGTTATCGAGACGATCGATTAACGAAGCACTCCACTACACTATCATAGTTTGACTAATTAACTGTCATAGTTTTTTTAAAGTTTTAACAATAGACCCCCGAGCTAACTAGATAATAAGAAAGTAAATTTATCTTGAGTTATTTCAATATAAAGATTTCAAGACATCAAAAAATATTCTTACAGTAATTCATCAGGGAAAGTGGTTGACTAAATGATGATTGCTTGTAAGTAAGTAAGTTATATATAAGCAAATTATAGATCATAGGTACCAATAGAACACTAAACAAATGATTAAGGAAGTAGAATTGTATTATTTTCAGTCAGCATTTGAAGACATTCTATGATTTTAAGGTACTTTTCATCACAAATCGACATCATCCTACAAACAATCGGAAATAAGGAATTATTGGATAGTTGTTTCATTCGAGTGGATTTCGGAACTCATAAAGAGTGCTCACATACAATCCCACCTGGGATCTAGCTCAGGCCTCTCAACGACCAAGTTACTATTAAACTCATAAGTTGACGTCGAACTATTCAAATGTTAATTTCCAATCATTCATTCTCTTACAAATCTTATGTAGGTGTGCACTAAGGTAGTCTGTCACTAGAGTGGAACTCAAATGCAACCCACGTATTTCTAGAAGACACTGTTATCAGTGAAATGAATATAGGTGAAAGTATGCATCTATAGACCTCAACAACAGAAATAGCGCGAACACGAATATTTCGAAGGAAACTGGAGCTACATATGATGATCTTGGTTGCTGTTCCAGTCCACAAACATTTACATCTCGATTGCCTGTACTGACTGACTTCGTAATGCAAGCACTCAGATTTCGGTGGACTCGGTTTCACTATAAAGATATCAAGTTTTGAGATGTGAAGATGATGCCTATCGATTCATCCACTGTATGACATGATTAAAATATTGTATGGATTCACAAACCCACAAATGATTTACTATCATGATGATGTTTGATGAACAATGTTGCAATGAGTTGGCCGATAATTATTTGACTCAACTTATCAAACATACTTCTGAAGCTTGAAGGCAATTCACAACAAATGGGAGTGACTCGGACGAGTTTCCATTACTTATTCACTTACAAAAGCGTAGTTGTGTATGTATTTAACATTTGTGACAAAATTTGTTTGAAACATTCACTGATTAATTCATAACTGGTCTACATGACAACTCAACAGTTTATCATTGCACACTTAATATGTAACACGTGGAATCAGCAGTTAGAGAACAGCAGTACAGATCTGAAAAAAACGAGGACTTCACACCAAGAGAGAACACAGTGGGAGTCACGAGCCTCTTTATTTCAAAATCAAAAAGCGCGGTGCGCGAGAGTACAGCGGGAAGAGTCCGTTTACAAAGTAGTCTTATGAGTCATCCTGTAAGCTTAGTGTACATAGGGCTTGCTCTTCTTCCTCTAAAGAGTTTATGTTTGGTCGCCCTGCAATAGAACGAAAATAGAATGCATTAGTATATCATACATAGCAATTTCGACTCCGTTACAAATATAATTAAACTTGATGTGTTTGCTATCGTTGGTTAAAAACAACGGTTTGAAGGATATTTCATTGGTTAGGAATCAATATTTATATTTATTTCTTGTGAAAATAACAATTACAGAATCCGTGATAGTTTACATCCATGGTCAGCTTGATATAGATGGCAACATCAAATGGAGATGACAGATATATGTGATATTATATTGTTGGAAGTGTTCTAAGTTTTCAAGGATTGTTTATGTGGCACATTTTTCACACGTATCACAGCAATATATTAAGTCAGTCGGGAACTACTAATTCTCTTGTTAAGTAGACACTCTGTTGATGCATGTTTGGTGCAGTTGTAAAATTTGATACCAGTAATAGTATTATTAGTATTAATAGACTGATAATTGTGCATGTCAGTGTTATCTGAAGATTTGTAACATGTTATGATGTGCACGGTTTTCATCATCAAGGGTAAGTACCTGTCTCCAGAGTGAGGAAGAAAGAGAGATAGTGTGTGTGTAAATAACTTTAGAGGAAGTAGAGGAATCATGGTTATAGAGAATGGATGAAATGCCATTTACAGCATGACTGTCTGAGATCTTATGGGAGTTTATAACTTTACTAATATTTAGATTACAGAAAAAAAAGGCTTTATAGAGTTACAATTTATTAACCAGTATCATCTAGGAATTCGTTATTGTTCTCAAAAGATACCACTGGAGAGTTTTACAATTGTTTCAGAGTCGTTTATAAATGTGCCATTATACAGGACACATGGTCTATCTACATTTTGAGGTGCTTTAATGCGTTCGTAGGAAAGAGAATTAGTCTTTGTACTTTTTAACTAATATTATGTGCTAATAAATTCTGATTAATGACTTTCTCAATAATGCTTTTTTCCTTAGTTGAAATCATGAGTCAATTAAAGCTAGACCACCATGGAAAACCTGGAAGCACCGGACGGCCGTTTCGTCCTATTGTGGGACTCCCCAGCAGTGCGCACCCACAATCCCGCTTCGCGAGATTTGAACCCAGGACCTACCAGTCCCGCTCCAGAGCACTTAACCGATAAATCACTGAGCCGGCGTCCAACGGTGTTAATGTATAACTTCAACCAATCCACGAAGTTTGAGCGACCGTTCACCTTTTACTTGGTTAAAAGGTATAGTTATCTGTGCAAATGCTGTAAAATAATTTAACTTATAGTAACGTTTTTGCAGACATCCTAATTTATCACGATATTCAGCTGAGATAAATAATTCGTTTGGCTTACTTATCCTGTACATTCTAAGGGATGAGCAGGAGTCTAAACACAAGTTAGTGATCTGATAGAATTTCTCAATGACATTCACGAGACTATTACTTGAGGGCAAGGTATGTCAGTCTGAGTGTCTTAACGGGGTATGTAGGAGGTCCTAGTCAGCATGTTCATGGTCCACATATTGGTTGGCTTTTTGTATGGGATGGTTATTAATGGGGGAGATAGAGAGAGCACCAAATACTGTCTTATAGTCACTGCATTCAAATTCGCTGCGTATTTGTATGGACAGTGGAATGACACTTTTACAGAATATTAAATCTGGTATGTTATGTGTTGTTGAGGAACGAACCAACTATGACCAACAGTGCAAGTTAATTGTTGCTATTAATTCACCGTTAGATTACTGACCATTACCAATATTCCAGTTTATTCCAGGTTAAACAGAATCTTCTTTGATGACCTGAGATGGTAA